GTTTTGGTGTCCGTTAGGAACGTTAGGAAACAAAACTTCCAGAACACGGCCACACAGCCTGGAAGACCCACACCAGTCACCAATTAAAAAAAAATTCACTGGAATTTTCTCCAGATGAGCATATGTAGGATTGTGGTCTAAGTGGTTTTCCTTTCCTTCACTGAAGGCCACTTCTCCTTTATTTACATGTTAAAATTCAAAAAGTACAGAAAAAATACAAAAGTACAATTAGTTTACTATTACCTAGCATTCACACTGCCACCTTAGTACAGGTAGTCATCACTTAACAACCATTCATTTAGTGACCATTCAAAATTACAGCAGTGGTGAACAAAGAGACTTACAACCAGTTCTCACCTTACAACAGTCCAAGCAACCCCACAGTCACGTGATCACGATCCAGGTGCTTGGCAACCAGCTTGAATTTATGACAGTTGCAGCATACTTGGTTAACAACTGCCCTGCTTAACAATGAATTTTCTGGTCCCTATTGTGATTGTTAAGCAAGGACTACCTGTATATCACAGACTGAAAAGGAATTGCTCACTAAGTCTGAAAAAATTGACCTTTTCTTCTCAGAAATCTGAAATAATAGACCCTATGTTTAGTTTTCATACTTCTAGTCCAATTCCTTGCTTAGCCGTTTCTCTCATGTTTGACAATAATGTATGAACAGATAATCTTGGGCAATACTGTTTTCATTTTTAAATTTTAAAAAAAAATTCCAAACATCTTTATAAATTCAGGAGATACATAGGTAAGGATACTTCCAAACTCTGGCCTATTTAGGCAATGTTTTCCCTTTATAGCCTATTCTTGCTTTCTCGCTTACCCATTCTCAGGTAGGTTAAAGACTACTCAGTGGATTATTTCTCCTTCTCCTTCTCCTTCTCCTTCTCCTTCTCCTTCTCCTTCTCCTTCTCCTTCTCCTTCTCCTTCTCCTTCTCCTCCAAATTTGTATGGCTGCCCATCTCACAAAAAAGTGATTCTTTTTCCTCTTCTTTCTTTTAAGTTTCTATTAACCCAGATGCAGGAGAACATAGACTGCTTCCTCTCAAGTAATCTGTTACTTTCTTTTTCCCAGAATGCCTCCTTGTGTTTCATTTGGCCTGTATAAACAAGTGCTATTTCCTTGGAGATACTGTATATTTATTTCACTAAAATTATATACATGTGTGTGCCCACACACACACACACACACACTCCACTAATAAAAGTTCCAGTCCTTAACTGGCCAATTAATTTGCTTCCCTCTAGGCAACTGCCTCTGTGGGTGCACGCTCACAGGTCCTTCAGGTTCATTTTCAAGTCCATTCTATCCTTCAGACTACCCAAGGAATTCCCACTGTGTCTGGAACATACAGGTAGAGGAAAGGCGTCATATAGAACTCATATTTCAAGATTTCAGGTAATAAAGAATTTGCTAGTTAATCAATGAAAATGTCATTCAATCATTGTATTAGTCTGTCTTATGCTCTTGTTCTTAGTCATAAACTGTGGTTCATATATAAACATATTTCATACTTTATATTTGGAAAGTTTATGGGGAACTATGATTCAGAATCCAAGCCATTTTCTCAATCCTTCTATCCTATAATAGAGTGAACTATAAAATAGGATATCTTTATGATTTTAACAGTGTTATTATCCATTGTGTCCTAAGAGTAAAATAATAAAAAGGTCCAAGAATAAAATGGGAAGTGTACTTTATATGCATTTACAGTATGTTACTCTCTACTTCCCATATACACAGAGATTTCTTTGATCTTATAAATTAGCTATAAGTTACTTCAGACTGAAAAAAAAATTATATAGAAAGAACCTCATTACTTCTTTCTTTCTGTCCATTTTTCTGCTTAACTTACTACTTGTTCTCAGTAAATGAGGCATTAATCAGCAAAGGAAACAGATGTCATCCTGCAGTTCATCACAACATCACACAAATTATGCAGATAATGTAATTTGCATCAGTAGCAACTTGCCAAATTATATAACTCTTAATTTACACAATGATGTCATGATACACATGAATCAAGGGGAGAAAGTAATTTTGGGTAGAAAATGGCTTGAAGAAAACAGCTAAATTTGTCTTTTCTCTCTCCATCCCACATTTGTCAAGCCTTATGGATAGACTGAGCAAAGCTATAGATGCTTACAACCTTCTAATAATATGTTTTTGTAATTTTT